CAACGAGGAACGCTAAGGGAGAAGAGCAGTTTATCTTTCCGGAAGAACTTTTCTCTTGTATGCTGAGGAAATACCCTTTCGATCAAACCGCGCCAACGAACCGCAACATCGTGAGACCGACCTTCTCAATCTTCCAACTCTCTATTTCTTTCTCCCTCCCTCTCCTAACCCTCTCTCTCTCTCTCTCTTGCATTGAATCTCACACTCAAAATTAATATCGATTTTAAAAGACGACATACACGAGATATATTTCGAAAAGTTTGGGAAGTTTTGTCATAAATTGTTTCTTTCAAAGTGTAATAGAATTTGTCACGGATCTCTTTCAAAATAGATCTCTTCTTTAAATATGTACAGGATGTTTCATTTGATTTTTCTCGGTGTTATTATTCGTAACGAAAAATGTTTTAGATGAAAATCGAGAGAAGTATATTAATTGGTATTATTATTTTGTGAGTGAACGCTTAAAAATCAAATGAACTTTGCTTTTTTAAATGGAATTATATATTGTTTTTACATCAATATATATAGCTTGATATTTTCTATAAAAAAATATTAATTATATTTCAATTTGAAATTTATAATATGAGAAACAAGGAATATGCAAAATAATATTCTTTTATTCATATTTTCTTTGTCTTTCATGCAATAAGTTTTATAAAATTCAAATTCAGATATCTGTTAAACTAATAATTTTTAGATATGATTAGTTTTATAAAGAATGTCAAATTAATCTATTAAAATATATATAATTCCATTTAAAAAGAAGAAAGTTGATCTTTGCTTATATATCCTCTCATGAAAGAATTAATAATATAAAAATATACTCTTCTTTATTTAATTTTTATCTGAAATATTTTTTTAATTGCAAATAATAATATTGAGATACTCTGCACATTAAAAAGTTTCAACTTATGAACACATTTATGATTATTTTCTCTTAACTATCTCAAAATATTTCTGTAATTATGCACTACGATTATGTACTATTATTCCATTTATTTCAAGTTTATGATATAACTATCACTTTTAATTTGTAAAATTTCAAATATTTCTCTCATTATCATTAATATAGAATGTTTGCTCATGATATACATATATGTATTACATAAATAAATTGCCAGATTTTACACAATGTTATCAAATATAAAAAGATTGAATTCATGTGAATCGAAAATGATATGAAATGATGTTTTTTTTCGTAAAAAGCTTCATTTCCAAATAAATCGATATTGAAAATTCATGAATGCGTCCTCTTGGCTTTACTGTGAACCTAGTTTCGTTGCATTTGTATTCATGAACATTATCATTGCTATGGCTCATTATTATTTCCGAGTCAGACTCTCAGTCTTCGTTGTTCTGTCAATATGACGATATGCAGTAATCTGAGAGCACATTGATATTCCCCATTTGATCCATATGCTAGCAATGCACATATGGCTACTAATTACTGTAGAGGGTCAACCTATCAATTAGTTTCCTCTTCGAATGAATTCTAGCGAGCTTAAAATACGTTAAAGAGCTTGATTTTGAACAATTTTTTCCTTTGCAGTAATTAATGATTGATTTTAGCTTTATTCGCTTAAAATATTTTTATTCTTTGAAATCATTATATCATTGAATTTCATATATACATATAACACTATATGCATCAATATGCAGCTACTACTTATCAACTGTTTATATAAATGTATCAATGCAATTGATATCCAACTTGTATATGTGAATTTGAAAATTTATTTTTTTATCGATTTGAACGAGGCCTTTTTAAGATTCTTTTTATAAATATTTTATTTTCGCGGATTCGAAAATTTCAATAAAAGATTTTATATACAAAAATAAATAATGTAAATTAGAATTTTTTCACTTCAAAAGTACATTTCAAGAAAACTAAATTTTCCAAAAATATTCATTGAGTAAATGAATTTCATGTTTTACATTCAATTTTAATTTTGTGAAGAATAAAAACTTGAATAAAAAATTATTGTAACTGTATTGTGTTCTACATTTACTATTTATTTCATATTAATCATATTTTTCTACATTTGACAAATTTTTAAATCCGATTTTCTCAAAAAACGAAACTTCAAATAAAAAAATTTTATTCTTTTTTTTAATTTATTTTTCGACTACATGCGATTTTTATATATGTAAGTTATATAAAATGTAATAAATCAATACAACAATATAAACAACACAATAATATTTGTTAAACATGTACAAGTGAAATCATATATAAGTTACACATAATCGATGAATCTTTAATATTGATTTATTCGAAAATAAAGTTTCTTAGAAGTGTCATTTTCGACTTACTTTTTCGTGTAAATTTATCACATCTTTTGGTTTATTCCCTTTCGAGATATCATTATTTCGATAACACTTTGTATATCAACAAATATAAGCAAAAAATTTATTTTCATGCATAAATAAAATGCAAATATAATTCTGATTCATAGTTATTTAAAAAAAAATGAAATTTTATTAAAATTATATTGTATTGAATATGATAAAGGATTTAAAGAAAAATTTGATTATTTATATAAATATTTGCTCCATTAATCATTAAATAAAAACTAAAAAAAATGAAAATCAAAAAAATGATTCAACATACCGAAGATAATTGTCAGTTTATGCAGCATCTTGATTTAAACGAAGAACGAACAGTTTAAATAAAACGAAATCCACCAAATTAATCAAAGTTCAAGAAGAAACAACTGAAAATTTACATAAATAATATAATATTGCTTTCTTTTACGATTAAATTTAATATATATTAGCTAACGATTATTAACAATTACCAACCTCAAAAATTGGCAAATAACGAATGGAAAAAATTCTAATGAAAAGAATTGTAGAAATAGAAATGCGATTAATTGCAGAATAGAAAAACATAAACTTGATATTAATAAACAAAAGATACATATATAATTCTTGATAACGGGAAAAGAAAGAAAAATAATCACAGAAACAAAAGAGAACACGAACTTGTTACCACTAAACGGAAGACACTGGATAATCGAATAAATAATCGAAACTTCAAATAATCGCGATAATTAATCGAATCGAATCAAATTGATAGATTTATTATTGTGGGAATATATATTAAATAAATTGTATATTTATCTTAATTTATATTTATTTATTGCACTTAACACTTTAAATTTTACTAACAAGTCTTGTTATTTTAATATTACAATATTGAATCCTACAAATAATATATCGTTTCTCTAACCTCGCACGTACTTCTCGATCATTCTCCATGACACTCGTCCACTTCTCTATCTATATCTCACTCATCATATGTTCCTACGATCATGCACAGTCTCGTTCATTCTATGTCACTTACAATTATGTTAATAATCTTCCAAAAATATATTTGAAGAAATTATTGTTCAAATATATATATTAAAAGTAAGATTTACACGATTTATTAAAATATTCTATTTAGAACTCTTATATATTTTTCATAAAATATTCGAATTCATTTTTTTATTTTTCAAATAAAATTAGAAAGCTCATATTCAAATTTAGTAGAAATATAAAAGCATATTTACACGACAAAGAAAGAAAATGATAAAACTTCAAATTATTCAAATCTCGAAATCTTAATATCTTATATAATTATTAATATTAATTATAATTTCATTAATTTTCATAATTTTCTAATTTTATAGAATATTCGTATTACATGTAATTTAAATAGAAATAAAATCGATTTTTTAAATCTAACAAAAATATATCTTTCCTTAATCTATCGTTGAAACATTTTCTATGCTGTGAAAGCGTTCTACTTCAGCAATTCGTCGAGTTTTCAATGGTCGGCGAAATAAATTGCAGGATCTTAATAGAACACAGGTAAAAAGCTTGCTCGTTAGATTCGAGTCCTCCCTTTAATCGAACTTGAATTAATTTTCAACCACAAAGATTCTTCTGCTCGATTTTATTCATTCACCACTCGTCATGCCTCGTGCAAACTATACATCCAATTCAATCGAATCTCGAATCTGCTTTAATCTACTTGATCAATCCCGGGAAAGCATTAATGCGCAATTTGACATTGTTTTCACGCTTTCATAAATAGGATAGATAGCGAGAGAGGAGAAAGAATGAAAACGAATTTTAACATCAAAATAAGGTAATCGAAAATTAGAAATTAAAAATATGACAGATGTAAAAATGTAAAAATTGAAAATTGGAAATAAGACAGATATATAACTTTAAAAAGTTATAAATATTTAAATCTCGAAACATTTTAATATTTATATAATTCGAAATCAGATAAAAAAAAAAAGGTAAAAAAATATAACTTAGAGAGATATAATTTATTATTATTTAAATAATAATAATTAATTCAATTGAATTTATATTTAAATTTTTGATTCATTTTAATACAATAATATATCGACAAACATATAATACAAAATTTATTGGAAATATTGTAATTGTTAAAAATTTAAATGTAAATTATTCAAATTATAAAATGTTTATTATTGATATAAATAAAAACATAAAAACGTGAAATCAATGCGATATAAACTAAATATAAAGAAAAATAACTTTCTATTATATTCAATGAAAAAGCAAAATTCTAAATAAAAATTGCATACTTTTAAAATATTTCCTACTTAATATTTTATAATATTTCTATGTATTATACATTCAAATTACTGCTACTACTACATTTTGTATCGTTTTCATCTTGATAAAGAAAAAATTTAAATTATTATATTTACTTCAGATCAATTTAACATTCATTTAATATCCATATCCATAACATATTTGCATCTCAATAAATTTCACATATATATTATTACCTTTTGCCAAAAACTTAGATAAAAATTCAATTTTTTACAAAACAAAAATACTGTTACTATTAATTATTAAAAATATGAGATTTGTAAAATATCAAGATAACCAAATAAAAGGAAAAAAAATAAGCATTTTGTGTTTCGAAAATTGTCGAGATGTCATAAAGTTTCGAATTAGAGAATCTAAAATTCAAGTCTCCATATGTATCGAAAATGATAAACGTTTGGCGGAAAGTGTATACTAAACACGACAAGAATTTCCTACTCGAATAACTCACGATCGAAAAACGATTGATACGCAATAGCTTAGTATCACCATTTCGAGGACAACGTATCTCGTATATATATATATATAGCACACACGAGCACACTACGATTAATCGTCTATTTACAACCGAATAGCGAATAACATTTTGCGTAATCCTAGCTCAGTTCCCTCCAAGCCCAAAGTTATATTGTGCCGCATGAAATGCGTGACCTGAACACACCTTCGACATTTTCGTGCTACGTTTCATTTCAGAGCTCGATATTTCATCTTGATGCTCACGAGCATTGGAAGTTTTATCTAGTTCGATGATAATATTAAATACGACGTTAATATTAGATTCGGTTGAACGTGAGAAAGAGGGCGAACGTGAAATGTTCTTGAATATTTTATATATTATTATGTTGAGTATATTATATAGTTGGTCACAGAGGTGACTAAAATCCAACTATATTAACTTGATGCATTTTATTTAAAATTACATATCAGAACGTGGAGAGAGCAATTTAAAATCTAATTTTGATAAATATTTACTTCTTTATTCGATTAATGATGTTCCTATGGTTGGTTTGGAAGTAAAATGAAATATATAAATATACGAAGAAACAATTTTATATTAAAATATTGAAATGAAATACTCAGATGTAATTACAAGTAGAATTAATAATCTATATTTATTGTCTATCACAATTTGTGACCGAGTATCTTAAATGTAATTTTTCAGACGAATAACAAACTATTTATAACTATATCAATCGAAACTAAATGAAGAGTCATCCTTCGTTATGTTTTTGCGATTTACCTCTCGTATCGTGATTCACGACTCGTGGACAGGATAACAGGCTGATCGTCCTTGTGGATGGGTACGTTTTGATAGATAACGAAACCCTCAAGAGACCGTAAGTGATATTCACAAAGCTGGTTCACCAGATAGAAAAACGTCGTTTGTCTAAGAAGCCGTATATGCGATATAAAATTCCAACGAAGATCGTTGAATCGTTCATCCTCGTCAAAGCCAAGAGAAGAAAAGAAAAACCCAGAATCCGCTTCTCCGTAGTGACACTTTTGCCTTTTAACAACTGGAACGGATTGGCGCGAAACACAACGGATAAACTGCACTTCACAAAAAGAAAAAAAGAAGAAATCACGAACCGTCCGCTCTATTTAACCCCGTACAGAGCCGGTTTTCTCTCACGGCGATCGTTTATCTCTCCGGAAATCGTGTCGCGAAGGGATGCGCGGAAACAAGGTCACGGAGAGGTGGCCACCGATCGATCGTCACCCGAGCGAAAACGGGCAAGAACTGACTGGCCTCGCCGAGGGTACCTACCCTTATAGATATAAGACGGACGGGTGACGCATGCGCAGTGGGTGGCCGCGCATGCACGATTCGCGGTCGTTCCACTGCGCTTTCACGCTGCGGACAGGCCTCCTGTACAGGGCTCCGACGGAAGAACAGCGTTAAAGATCGAAACAGATTGGCCGATCGGAAGGAAGAAGAAGCGACGAGGATGGAAAGTCGGTCGTTCGGTCAGAAAGCGACAGTGGTAAGGTGTATGCACCGGTTAACACCCCGGGTTTTCATTCTCAACCGTTTCTTCATTATCGTGCGGTTATCACCGCATGAAAAAAAAAAAAAAATAATAATTTACAAGCGGTCGTTTGTGATTTCACGGTGATGAGACCCTCGGTTTCTGTTTAATGCGTGGTCACGTCCACCGCTTTTGTTAGTCGATGTTTATCTATCGGAATTTTTACATCGTCACGCGCCATGATAATATTACGCATTACGAAATATGAGATGGCGAAATTGCCCGCCATGAGAGTGGAGCGAAATATAGACCAGTAATTTTTTTCTTTCTTCTCCTTTTTTTGAGGGAGAGTTATTTTTTTGACTTTTAATAGGGAACAAAAATTAGATTCTACTGGATCGATGATTGAAAATTATGAGTAATTATGAATAATTATGAATAAATTCATCTATTTATTAGATAAATAAGTTATCTAATTTTGATAATGAAACGAAGATTGGAAAAATTTTCCAGAGATTCTAATTTTCTTACATCAATTTTCTTACATTGGTGTTATTATGTTTTAAATTCGAATCAATAATGACAGAAAATTAGAAAAATATTTTTTAACGAGATAATATTCTTATAGATATTATATTCTTAATTATTATGGTCGACATTAAATTTTATCGTAATGTTGAAAATCGTAGTGTTGAAAACCTATATGGTTTAAATAAGAAAAATTAATGATCAAGAAGAGCTAAAAATTAATTATGTTATTAAAATTAAAGAACAAATAAAATTGGCTTAATCAGAATTAATAGAAGAAATTAAAATAACTTAATAATATTCTTTGTTTATTACAAATAATCAAAAAAAATAAACAAAGAAAAATTGAGTATGAAAAATATTGAATGAAAAAATATTAAAATATTGAATTTATATTTTTTTCAAACAATATAAATAAATTCATAATTATTCATATTATAATATGTTGATTTTTAATTATATAAAATAAACAATTTCAAATGATTTATTTATTATAAATCCTATTCTTATTTAATTTTAATTAATATAAATTAAGTAATAGTAGTTGTGTTTGTAAGATAAAAAGATACATTTATATTTCCAGTTGCTCATATTGTATTTAATATGTGAATTTATTAAAAATATATATATATATATCTATTTTAAGAAAACTTTTTATATTTTTGAAATAAATGAAATAAATGAAATAAATAAGTAATGCATGTTAGAAAGCAATATCGAATCGATTGATCGATTTGATCGAATTTAAAATTGCATCGTTTAAAAATGAATAAATCAGTAACATATTAATAAATTCTGAGCATTCTATATTTCTTTCTAAAGATATAAAAAACACTTATTTTATGAATGATATAATGACATAAAATATCCTAAAATATTCTTATATAAGATTTAATTGATTTAAAGACTGAATGATTAGATACATTATTGTAAATTGATTTATTTCTGCACTGATAAAATATCGTTATTTCTGCATCAATTCAATATAATGGTATTCAAGATAAAATTATCTTTAATACAATATATACTGAAATATGTAAATATATTATACATAAATAAGTTTATTATATTTTATTATATTTAAATTTATTATATTTATTATTTATATTATAATTTATTATACATAAATAAATAAAATTGAAATAATATTATAAAAATATAATAATAAATACTAATTTTTTTTATATAAATGTAAACAAAATTTAGAATTAATTCATAGTTTAATAGTGTTAAATTATTAAAATCTAAGTTATATTAATAAATTTTTCGAGACCAAACAGATTATTATATAAAATATTTAATATATTGAAATATTATTTTAAAATACT